CAGGGCTGCTGGCTGCTGTGTGGGAATCATTTCTTCACAGGAACAATGGTGTTGAGAAGCTCTTCTTGGTGCAAGTGTAGTCCTTTGTAGGTAATCTATCTTTTCCCTTGCTGCTTTGAAGAGTTGTGTTTGATAATTTGAAACTGTGTTTTGATGTGTCTTTGTGATGATTTCCTTTTATTTATTTGAGGCCCCTAGGGCTTCCTGAAGCTACGGAATATCACATCATATCACAGGAATTTTGAAAAATTTTTAGCTAATATCGTCCCCCTAATTTTCTGAAACTTCAATGTTAGATATTTTCATTTTGTTTTATTAACCTGTCTGTGATGCTTTCAATTTGTTTTGTCTCTCGAAGTGTGGTCTGTATAGTCTCTTCAGCTCACTTCCAGTAAACTGATACTCTCTTTGCCTAATTATCTCGGCTGAAAAAGCTCTTCTTAAAAGCACATTATATAAAAACTGCCCAAAATGAATGACTGGAAACAATTCTCAATGCAGCCAGGGAAAAGAAGACAATAAAGGAAACCCCATTAGGTTATCATCAGGTTTCTCAGCAGAAGCCCTAAAAGCTAAGGTAGAGTGGAATCAAAATCTCAAACTACTGAAACAGAAAAACTGCCATCCAATAATAACGTATCAGCAGAGTTATCCTTTAGATATGAAGAAGAAATAAAGACTTTCCCAGACATACAGAAGTTGAGGGAATTTACCACCAGGAGACCTCCATTTTGGGAAACACTGGAGGGGGTTATTCTACCTAAAACAAACAACAAAAGGATACAAAACTGTGAGAGAGATGACTAACAGAGAGACAGAAGCAGAATGCTACCATCCTTCTTCAAAACAAGGTACTTATTATACTTAAATATCACATAAGGTTAAAAGAGGTAAAAACACAAAACATAGAAGAAGACAGCTACTGTAAATCAGATATGAATCCACAGCATAAGTAAGCATAGTCTGTGACAACAAAACAGTTTTAAAAAGGGGAAGGGATAAAGGTCTGAATTTGCAAAGGGGAATGGAGATGAGATGCATTCAGAGGAATACGGACTACCGTGTATGTGAAACTTTCTTTTGTATAAACCTCATGGTAACCACAAAAAAATCCAAAGCTGAGATATATAACTTCAAAGAAAGAAGAAACAGAGGAACAATTATAGAATACCACCAAACTGAAACGAAAATCAACACAAGGGAAAGGAAACCATGGAGACACAGAGCTGCCAGGAAACACAAGTAGAGGGGCTGCAGGAAACCCTCACACATCAACAATCACCCCGAGTGGAAATGGGTTGAGCTCTCCAATGAAAAGGCAAAGAGCAGTGGACTGTACCAAAAAACAGAACCCAAGAACATGCTGCCTTTGGGAGACACATCTCAGCTGCAAAGACAAATACAGACTTAAAGTGAAAGGGTGGAAAATGATTCTCCAAGCAAATGGCATCCAGAGAAAAGCAGGTATAGCCATACTTATATCTCACAAAATAGATTTCAAGGTAAAAAAGGTAACAAGAGACAAAGAGACATTTCAGTGGGTAATAGGCAGGGTGCATTTTATCACCATTCACAACAATCTATTTGAACTTCCATTTCCAACCATGACCCGAATAAACACATCATGCTATGCTGATTCTCTGATGGTCCGCAGTAACCACCCTGGTTATTCACCTTCCCCAATTAATCAATCAAACACCAATATAGGGCTATTGGGAAGGGGTTTCACATATGTAACTAAGGTCTCAAATCAGTTGACCTTCAGACTGCCCTGGGGGGCTCTGTCCTCATCAGATGAGTGCTGACTGGGTTTCTCCTGAGCAAGGAGGTACCAAGTGTGAGAATTCAATGTGAGCCTTTCTCTCCACTGGGGGCTTTGAAAAGGACGGGCCACCTGGTGCAGACTGCTGTGGCCACCAGGTGCTGGGAGCAGCCCTCCCCAGGCTCCTCCTCACCATGGTTAATAGGGACCTCAGACCCACAACTGAGATAAAAGTGAATTCTGCTGACAATCTAGAGAAGGATCCCGAGCTCACGCTGAGGACACAGCTTTGTGACTCCTGACCAGAGAACCTATCCACACCATGCCTAGATTTCTCATGAAGGAACTATGAGCAAGTAAATGAGGGCTATGTGGAGCCACTAGGCTGTGGTGATCTTCATACAGTAACAGATGACTGATACACAGGCTCAGCTGTGCCACGGATGAGCACATAGCATTTTTCCCACTGGAATAAATTTATGAACTGACATGTCCAGTAGTCAAATACAATAAAACCTTTCCTAACATGTTTATGTTTTCTATTTTATGACTTTATGTAATGTAATTAAATTTTAATAGCTATCATTCATTCATTCAACAACAATTAATTTAATGTCTACTATATACCAGAACAGCTTCATGTGCTGGGACGCAACTTTGACCTAAAGAGCCCAAAGTCCTGTGCTCACAGGTCTGATACTCTAGAGGCTTTCCGGAGTGAGTTGGAGCCACTGGGGCATTTTTAGTGAAGAAATGACACAATGTGACTCCCTCAGCAGGACTGCTGACCCCTATGGAGAGACTAGCCCCTGGGTGGCAGGTGACGGGGTGGCACTCATGCCACAATCAGGAGTGAGGGTGATGGAGAGGAAGGGGCGAAGAGACTTGAGGGATGAGAGAGAGGAGAAGGGCTGGGGAAGCAGGGGGTGAGGAAAAGTAGAGGTGGAGATCCTAAAGCAGCAGCACTCTCAGATTTAAATGTTTTATAGATTGATAGAAAATATCCCTACGGAGCCTAGCAGGGTGTTCTTTGCATTTGGTACCTAATACATTCTGTGGAACTGTCTAAAAATCAACCACGACCTTATGTTAATCAGTTCAAAAAATTATGCATCCTGATAAAATATGCACACTGCTTAGATGCAAATGATTCATAAAAGCAGGCAATGCAGGAGCGCTGGTGAAGGGCATTCTGACTGCATCAACCACTCGCAGTTTCGATGATGCGCAGCTCCTGCTGAAATGCACAGTAATAACCTGAGTCCCTGTGCTTGTCTGTACTGAGGATGTGGGCAACTCACACTAACTCAGGGCACGGGATGAAGATCATTGCTCAATGTAATAATCCCAAGTCACACACAGGCTGCATGGGGAGTAGAATGCGGGAGCTTTGTAACTCTGACTGCAGTGCTGTCCAGACACTTCTGTATGTGGAGCATCTGAACTCACTAATTTTGCAGATTAGCTCCCTGATGTTCAGGGTTTCCTATACTGTGTTCCCCACTGTAGTTCACTGGTCTTTGAGAATCTCTATCTGATGTTTTTAGGCACAACTCCTCCAGCGTTGAAGAGAAAAACCCTGTCCCTCCACCTCCATTCCCAGGACGACCCTACTATCTGACATCAAGTTCCCTGAGGTGAGTTTTCTTCTAGAAAAGTCCAGGAGAAGAGATAAGGGCTGGGAGGCAGAGAGTCCATTTCAGGGAGAGGGATTCCAGGAAGAGGAGAAAGGAGGGCTGGTCCCAGCATGGGTTTTCTCTCCATGGCTTCCTCACACAGCCCCTGAGGCAGGACAGAGAGCTCCTGGTGCAGGAGAAGGGTCAAGGCAAAGTCCCAGGTCCCTGGGCCTGGCTCTCAGAGTCCCAGGGTTTCAGCCTGAAGGCAGAGTCTGAAGCTCTGTATTGGGGAGTTCCCCATCTCCTTGTTTTACTTCTCGGTCTTGTGGAAAGCAGGACCAAGAAAACGGTGTTGGTCCTGTTGAGACAGGATAAAGTGTATAAAATAAAACGGCGTCACTCAGGCTGACCAAGATGGCTGCCAGCCAGCCGTGACGCTTTGGTTCAAGAAGGAAACTATCTAAGTCACACCAGGCACCCTGTAAGTCACACCAGGCACCCTGCCAAATGCCTATGAGGGCAGCACACCCAAGATAGCGGCACAGAGGGCACACCTACTGATAGAGTGCTGGGGGCTCTTGGCTCCGTCAGCTGCCAAGAACTTGGGTATAACTGAGGTGGACTTCAGAGTCACCAGAGGCAGCAAATATCCCACCACCAGAGGTGCTCCAAGCTACTCTGGGCCACATGCTGTCTGTCAGAGGTTCTGCCCCATGAGCCCCAGAACTTCCACATGGATGGAGACACCCACTCACTGACGCTGCCTCCTAGACCAGGGACTGACTCTGGGACTTGGGTTCATTAATATCCCATTGACTGTTGTGCGTTAACTGTGTGTGATATTATAGAGGATAGGATATTAAAGCAATGTTGATGTTCTATCATGTAAACCTGTCCTTAATAAAAGCTGAGTCTCAGCAACAGCTCTTGTACTTCTTGCCTCATTCCTCGCCATTGCCAGGTGTAGACTTGTTAGGTCCAGCTAGAATGAGCAGCCAGAGGGAAAATAAAGGCAGGGCCTGCACCGTTATAATCTAACAAAGAAGTTAATACAAGAGGCCAGACGCAAAAAGAAGGCATGTCTCACTAACTACTCCGCAATCCCGAGCTCGGTTTGTAAGATGGCCAGGAGTATTAAAAATAAAATAGTGCAGGAGGGGAGAGTCCTTGAAACTGTGCTGAGAAAGGGGGCCTCTGTAACCATTGTACTAAGACTGTGGGGTGTTCTGAACGTCACAAGCAGGAATGGAGCAGAAAGGAGGGGTAGTCCTTGAGATTCTATGCTGGGAAAAGGGGCCTCTGTAACAACTTCACTAAGAAAAGAGCCTTTACTAACTGAGAAAGGCTTTGTAGCTGTACAGTATTCTTGGGAGTGAGTGGGGCGGTGGGAGGGGAGCCTAGAAGTCAATTGAGATGTAAAACTCCTGTTTAGCTAAGTACCCACTTGTAGTCTTGGATCAAGTGTATGGGAAAACTCACTAACTTACTAACCAACTAGTAACAACTTCCTTTGCTCTATTATGGGTGGGGCATTTAGACTAGCTGGGTGCCTGCTTGCAGCTTTGTGCTTGTATGTGTTTCATAAATAAAATTGCTATCTCATTTCCACCATACGTGTTTGTCTCTCGCTTGCAATTACTCCGTTGCGGCTTAGACAGGAACCGGCTGGGGAGAGAGCCTGCGGACTCGCGCCCCTCTCCCCGTCCCTAACAGACTCAGGCAGGGCCCCTGCCTGACAGGCAAGACTACAGGGCGACCCTCTGGAGAGGGGCGGCCTACAGGGGTCGTCTGGAGGGTGCTAGGAAAACCTCTCACAACCCGTGTTGGGTCCTCCACCCTGGGCACCCTTGACTGACCCCAGTTCTCACTCACATTGGCGTCCGGTTTCCAGAAAAGCCAATACACCTCATAATGTCTTGGCGACCGAAGAGGACTCACACTCTCCAGACCCGGAGGAGACCGGTCCTGAGGCCCCCAACCCTCCTCCTACTGCTCTTGGGGGCCCTGGCCCTGACCGAGACCCAGGCGGGTGAGTGCGGGGTCTGAAGGAAACAGCCTCTGCCGGGAGGAACGAGGGACGCGCCCAGAGGGGGAGCCCGACTCCGGGGAAGGCGCGTCTCCAGGACCTCCGGCCCGCACCCCAGACCCCCATCCTCGCCCCCAGGCCCCCACTCGCTGAGATATTTCGACACCGCCGTGTCCGGGCCCAACCGCGGGGAATACCGGTACATCGCCGCCGGCTACGTGGACGACACGCAGTTCGTGCGGTTCGACAGCTACGACAGGAGCCAGACCCCCGCGCAGCCGCGGGTGCAGCAGCCCTGGGCGGTGGAGGAGCCGCAGTACTGGGACCGGCACGCGCAGAACGCCAGGGACAACGCACAGAATTTCCGAGTGAGCCTGAACAACCTGCGCGGCTACTACAACCAGAGCGAGAAGGGTGAGCCACGAGGCCGGGTCCGGGCTCGACCCCTGTCCCCACCGACCGGCGGGCGTCCCCCGTGGCTCCCGGGCCGGCCCCTCCCCCGCGACTCAGGAGGAGCCCGCGGGGAGTAGGACCAAGTTTCCTTTAGTTTCCGTTTAATCGCCGCAGCTCCGCTCTGAGTCGGGGGTCTGGGCCAGGGGTCTGGGGAGGGGCGGGGCGGGGCTGGCAGGGGGCGGGGCCGACCTCAGGAGCTGACCCGGGGCGGGGCCAGAGTCTCACACCATCCAGTGGTTGTACGGCTGCGACGCGGGACCCGACGGGAGCTTCCTCCGCGGGTACGCTCAATTCGCCTACGACGGCGCCGACTACCTGTCTCTGAACGAGGACCTGCGCTCCTGGACCGCGGCGGACGCGGCGGCTCAGATCACCCGGCGCAAGTGGGAGGAGGCGGGTGAGGCGGAGCACTACAGGGCCTACCTGGAGTGGGACTGCGTACAGTGGATCCGCAGAAACCTGGAGAGGCTGCAGCGCGCAGGTACCAGGGGCCGCGGGCCTCCCTTCTCTCTCGGGACTGGTGCGCCTTCAGCGAGGTAAAAAATGGGTGTCAGAATACCCCTAGAAAATTCAATCCACCTGAATATTCAGCTCTGGTACTGGAGAGGGACTCCCCTCTTTTTCTCTCAGGGACGATGAGGGGTGCAGTCTCACGCGGGATAGAGGGGGAGACCAACCCAGAAGTAAGGAACCAGAGTTCCCACTGACCCTGACAGTGGCTCTGGGACCCATAGGGGACTTTTGCTCCTCCTTCGCTGCCCCTCATCCAATGTGTCTGACACCTGACCCCAGTTTTTCTGAGTCCTTTGGCCTCCACCCAGGTCTGGACCAGAAATCCCTTTTCTGCCCCTCAGAGACCTGCTTCCTACCGTGGGCTGTATCACTATCATTCTAGAACTTTCTAAATACTAGGCGATCATCCCAGATGCCTATGGCCAGGCTGGTGTCTGGGTTGTGAGCTCCCTTCCCCCACCCCAGTTGTTCCTGTCTGTTCTCAGGATGGTCACGTGAGCACTGCTGAAGTGTCCCATGATGGATGCCAAGTTCCTGAATTTTCTCACCCTTCTCAGATCCTCCAAAGACACACTTGACCCATCATCCCATCTCTGAGCATGAGGTCACCCTGCGGTGCTGGGCCCTAGGCTTCTACCCTGCGGAGATCACCCTGACCTGGCAGCGTGATGGAGAGGATAAGACCCAAGACATGGAGCTTGTGGAGACCAGACCTGGGGGGGACGGGACCTTCCAGAAGTGGGTGGCCGTGGTGGTGCCTTCTGGAGAGGAGCAGAGATACACGTGCCATGTGCAGCATAAAGGGCTGCCCAAGCCCCTGACCCTGAGATGGGGTAAGGAGGGGACGTGGGCACAGAGCCTCTTCTCAGGGAAGCAGGGTCCTCAGGAGGACTTCAGCAGCGTGGGGGCTGAGGCCTGGGGGTTGGGGCCCTCACCTTCCCTTCCCTTCCCAGTGCCACCTTCTCAGGCCAGAGATGGCCTGGTCCTCCTTGGAGCTGTGGTCACTGGAGCTGTGGTCACTGGAGCTGTGGTCGTTGGAGCTGTGATGTGGAGGAGGAAGCTGTCAGGTAAGGAAGGAGTGGAGTCTGAGTTTCTTGTCCCACTGGGGGTTTCAAGCCCAGGTAGAAGTGTGTCCTGCTTCATTAAAGGGGAAGTACCATCTCCACGCATGCGCTTGCCCAGTCTGGGACCCTGTTTACTGGGATCCTCGGCAGGTGTGAAAATAATGGGTAAACTTACTACCTTGATGAATTCGGTGATGGGGACCTGGTTTCCAGCAGTCACAGGTCAGAGGGCAGGGTCCCTGCTGAGAATAGACCTCCAGGAGGGCAGTTGGTCAAGTCCTTGTACAGGTACTCTCAGGTTTCCTGATCCTGCCTTGGGTTTGTAGTCACAGTTCTGGAAACTTCTCTAGGGCCCCGGACTAGGGATCCCTCCAGTACCTCATGGCTCTGCCTCCTCTCTGATGTGTCTGTCATGTAGCTTCTAAAGGTGAGATGGAGTTGGGGCAGAGGGGACAGAACTGGGTGATGGGGATTCATTGGTACTTTTTGAGCATGAAATTTACTGTTGAGAATGTCACCAGTTATAGCAACTGGCCTGAATTTGTTCATGATTATTTTCTTCTATAGGGTGAGACAGCTGCTTCCAGCGAATCAGTGATGGAAGATTCTTCATACACACACACACACACACACACACCCACACACACACACACCCCAACCCTGTGTATGTAACTTCAGGAACATCTTTCTCTTTCTGCAAAGGGCATCTGAATGTGCGTGCATTCCTATCAGCAAAATATGAGGAGGTGGGAGGCTGGCCTACCTGTGCCCACCATGACCCGTCCCCACTTTCCTGTCCAGCAGAGGAGAGCTGGGCCCTCCCCTTCCCTGGGTTTACTTTGTGGATGTGCACTTGTTTTTTCATTTCTTTCCATGAAGGGTTGATGGGTTAATTAAAGGAAAAGATCCTAAAGTTTGAGATGACATAAATGGAAGCACCAAGTACTTTCCAGAACCTGTGTGTTTGCTGTGCTGAGTCTGTTGCCAGGAGATGGGCCTGTGCGGACAGAGTGTGGTTGGAGCCTATGCCCATTCAGTGCTCAGTGAACCGTGGGCTTTGACATTGTCACTCTTCAGCTGGGTCACCTCTCTGCCCCTTGGTCCTTGTCCCAAGAGGACCTGTGGTCTCAGGAACTCAAACAACCCTCAGGCCTTGTAAATTGTCCCAATGAAGAACATCTCCAGGACTGTGGGCTGCGAGGGCCTGGTGGGGCCAGATCAGCATAGGCTCAGGCCTGGGTCAGGGTGTTTATTTGCAGTTTCTTTGTTTCTATAGAGAGCAGTGTGACTGTTTTTGTTCCTGTTAGGAATTCTGGTCTCACTCTTTTGGTGTCCCCTATCTGTCAGCAGCTGGAGGTGTTTTGCCTGTCATTATGCCCACAGGGCCCAGGAGGTTCCTGCGCACAGGAGTCTGTGGTATGGAGACACAAAATTTTAGTCATCCTGCTCTTGCCTCCTACTGGGCCTTCACTGTTTTTCTCATCTTTTCCTAAACTCTCAAAGGAACCAGCTTAGGAATTAGCAGAGAGGAGGATCCTGTAGTTTCTCATCTCAGACAAGTTCCTGATGGAATTTTGCTCTGTTTACCTGCCCTCTCTCCCCACCCTTTGCTCTAGCGCTGGCTTCAGTGAGAACTCAGGGACCCACAAAGCAGAGTCTACTTTAGATTTAGGGAGAGCAGCACTGTGGGAGAAGTGCGGGTGCATGGATGTCAGCGTGAGTGCACGATGTGCTGTAGCTGCCATGGAACAGCTGTGGTCTGAGGCCACGTTAACAAAGACCCTGGTCTAGCATAGGAAGGTGCTTTACACTGATTGTGCACACTCCAGTACTGGCAGTGTGACAGATGTATGGCGCTGTTTTTGCATCGGGGCACGTCACTGAAGTAAAAGAAAAAGTGCTGGCCTTGTGGAGCATATGCTGTGTGGGAAGAGACAGCGTAAACAGGGAGTGTGTCTGGGTGGGAAGTGTTAAGTGTTCTGTTAAACGCCTTGGGGAAGGTGATCCCTAGTGTGGGGACAGGGAAGATGGCTTTTAGATTTGGGTGGTCAGTGTGGGCCTCACTGGGAAGGTGACCTTGAGAAAACATCTGAAGGACATGGGGAGGTCTGGAAGAAGTTCTTTCCAGACAGGGGAACCTCCAGTGCAAATGCCCTGGGGCAGCAGTATGTCTGGTTCTGGGGAGAGGGAGGAGGCCACCAGTGTGGGGATGGAGCAGAGAGTAATCACAATGAGATGGAGGCAGGGCCAGACCGTGTAGGCCTGGAAGACGCTCTGAGTGAGGTGCTGTGAGGGAAGGATGAAGGAGAAGGCTTAGAGCAGGAGAGGCACATGGTCTAACGTCTCCTTTAAAGGATGGTGGTGGCTGCTGTGCTGAGAGAAGAATCGGGAGGCGAGGGAGACAGTGAGCAGTCAGGAGGAGTCTGCAGGGCTCCAGGCCGGAGATGCTTCCCCAGGTTGAGCAGTGGAAATAGTGGGCATGGTGAAGTTCTGGGTATTTCTGAAGCATTCTGGGTCCCTTGAAGCGTTCATAATGGGTTAATCTGGGATATTCGAGAGAGAAGTGGATATCACCAAAAATCTCAGAAAACAAAAAGGAAGAAGAATCACTGTCAGCGGAAATGGGGAAGGCTCTGGAAGCGGCATGTCGGAGGGGCCATCTCAGACATTGGTTTTAGCAGATACTGGAGCTTCGATGTCTGAGGAGTACAAGGGAATTGTCCAGTTGGCAGTTGGACAGATGAATCCTGAGGTCAGGAGAAATGTCAGCTGGAGAGAGAGAGATTTAAACCCTTGAGAGTGGACAAGGTGGCCATGGGAGTGACAGCTACAGAAGACAGAGGAGCACTGATGAACCCAGGACCCCCATGCTGAGTGAGATGGTCAGCCACACACCAGAGCCGCCTGCACAGTCCTGTCTCTGCACCTAGAGGCATGACTGTGGAGTCCCACACTTTCTCGTGTGCAGCAGTCACCTGGGTATCTTGTCAAGTCAGAGAGTCTGGAGCAGAGTGGGAGAATCTGGATTTATAAGAAGGCTGGTGCTGATATTGTTGGTCTTAGATCATGCATTTAGCAGCAGGAACCCAGACCAGGACTCCACATGGCTGCATGTCCACCTCACCCCCAGGGCTTGTTGCATGAATGATCCGGGCCTGGTGCCTATTCCCTGAGACAGCGGGTGTGGGAACGGCTGGGGGTTTTGTAGTCTCCCATGAGCAATCCTGGGGTCCAGCCAGACTGGGAACCACTGAGGTCAGTGACTGAGCTAAGGTTGGGAAGGGATCATAAATCCACTAAAAGTGTTTTTTTTCCTCAGAAAGAAACAGGTGGACATTTATCATCATTTATGAGACACTATGTTCTGTCCACCGTGGGGTTAAAGTCAGGTGGAAAGTTTAGGAAGTGGGCCCAGGTCAGCATAATAAAATCTCTGAATGCTTGCTCCCTGAAACTTCCTTAGGTATATTTCTTGGAGCAAACAATGGAATCCCGATTGTTCCTAGTTTAGATAAAAAGTAGCATATGTATGCATATATGTGCATACACACACACACATTGAGTGTCTAATATTGGCGTCTAATATTTTGAGAATGCCACAGCACAGACTAGAGGCCACAGAGCCAGGAACAGGTCCCCAGTCCAGCTTGGGTCACGTTGCACTGAGGGCCCAGTGCCCTGCTGCTGGGCACAGATGTCACTGTTCACCCCACTGACTCCACTGATGCTGGACCCTGTACCCTGCGGCTAGGTCTGCTGTCTCTGCTGCTCCTGGCAACTGAACGCTTACTGCCACTCCTGTCACCCTGGCCAAAAGCACTCTGCACAGTCCCAGCCTGTCTGTGTCACCCCGTCCTGAATCAGAGTCCAGCATGTGATGACCTGTCTGGTGGAGCCTCGTGCAGAGCCCAGATGCATGAATGTTGGGGGATGTGGGTTTCCCTTTGTGGAGGGACGTGGTCTCTGCCTCCCACCAAGACTCTTATGTGTAAAGTGCCCATCCCGTTGGAAGAGTTCAGGTGCTGGGGTGAGAACAGAAAAGGATGATATGTCAAATCTTGGAGCAAAGATCCGAAACTAGACCTTTCTGGTGCTTTGTAGGCACTCAGGTGTGGCTGGAAGAGCAAGTGACCAATAAATGATGTCCCAGGTAGAGGTTTACTTGCTGCTCTTACTCTGAATTTCTTTGTGGGATGGTGAGGGATTTTTTTTCCTCCACTAGCGCAATTCTCTGATTCTCAGACACCAGCTGCATTTCCTAAATTCAGCTCAATTCCAATAAACCACCTACAGTGAACTGCAGGCCCCACACATTCAGGGTCCCTTCCCACAAGACGGCACTCACTTCAGATGCAAGTCTCAAGTTCAGCCCCTGCCATGTTACCTGCACTTCTGTCTGACTTGGCTACAAAAGTTAGGGGTTCCCACCAAGTTCATTAATTTGCTAGATCCACTCATGGAATTCAGGGAAATGCTATACTTACTACTACAGTTTATTGTAATGGATATAAGCAAGGAGCTAGATAAAGAGGAACGTGGGGCGAGGTGGGGGAGGGTCCCGAGTGCCAGAGCCTCTGTCACTCTGGAGCTGAACTGTGTCACCCCTCCCCTCCCAGAATGCGGATGTGTACACTACAAAAACTCTCTGAACCCCACTGTTAAGGTTTTTAATGGAACTTTCACTACATAGGCATGATGATTAAATCATTGGCCATTGGAGATTGAACTTGAACTCCAGCCTCTCTCCCCAGTGGTGGGGCAGGGAGGCTGGAAGTTCCAACCCTTTGATCAAGCTTGGTCTTTTCGTGACCAGTTCTGATGCTGAAACTATCAAGGACCCTCAGCCAAGAGCTATCTTATTAGTATACCAAAGATACTCTCGTCACTTAGGAGATGCCAAGGATTTTAGGAGCTCTGTGCCAGGACCCAGAAGCAAAGACCCACTATTTTCTGTTATACCACAGGTCTTTGTCCACAGATCCATTAATAGCAAAGGTATTGTAATAGTTAAAAGATTTTGGCACATTATTAGAGTCCTTTTCAGTCATTAAGTTAGTTCCAGCCCGTCATCCTAGTAGGGATATTTACATGGCCCATGAATTTATGAAAATTACCCAAGATTTTTAGTCAGAGGAGAAGTTCAAATTAAGCTATAATGTGATATTATTTCACCCCTCCCAGAATGGCAAAAATGAACAACTCAGACAAAAGCAATTGTTGATAAGAATTTGTACTACTTTGAGAAATGCTTTCACAATACCTACTACACCCAAATACTCACTTAACCTATGACCCAGCATTTCCTCTACTACTTATATACCAAGTAGACGTGTGTAAATATCTGTATGGCAAAACATATGAAGAAATTATTCATAGCAGTATGTTTTATAAAATCTGGGTGTATAACACAAATGCCCATGAGCAGTAGAAGACAAGCAGTGTGATTTGTTCCCATAATTGAACCCCTGTAGCCACAAAAGTGAATGAACTACAACCACACAGCCATAGGGATGAGACCCGGGATGTAGTGTTGTGTGAGAACCCAGTGCAGAGGGGTGGCCGCTGTAATATTCCATTCTCTCAAAGTCGGACAGAACTCATCTATGGTGTTAAAAACGAGGACAGTGGTTACTCGGGATTGGGGCAGTTTATGAATGAATAAGATTCAAGAGGGCTTCCTGGGGTGCTGGAAATGTATGGCTGTTGTTTATCCCAATGTCCTCCTTGTGAAAATCCACCGTACACTTAGGATTTGTCCTCCTCTTTGTGTGGGTGTGGTCCTTATGAAAAAATACTTTTATGGAAACTTGAAATAATTCTCCTAAAGCCAACATAGAATTCTTCTTATGGAAAGCTTTTAGCAATGCTGAATTGAAATAATCACTGCAGTTTTTTCAAATCCAAGGAAATGAATGTCTGCAATTTAGACATAAGAGAACCTAAAG